CTCTTGCAGCTTTAAAAAATGACAACTCGCCTCAAGTCTGGCTTGCGCATCTTAAGCAGTAAACCTTTGTCATGGTCGTTACACCCCAAGTTATTATAACATTGCACTGGGATCGACATGACTTTCCTTGTTATTCTCTTAGTGTTGGAAAGCCCTTACACTCTGCCGGTCTTACTGCCATTGCACACAGATGGGTTTCCACACTAGTACTTTTCTATCGCCTTAAAGTTCGTGCCTTTCTTTCAGGGTGCTGTCAACTTGTTTGTCCTTATAAACAGCCACAGTTCAGCCTCAGCTATCCCCCTTCGTCCACCATCGTCACGATACAGGATGCGAGGCAAGGCACTGCACTTGAGTGATCCTTGACGTGGATCTCAAGGAGAACATGTCCTATTGCATGCGGGTTAGACGCGTCCACGCCCCGCCCCACAAAAAAAGGCATCGGCTGATATGGCCTCAGATCTGGGGAAAGCGCCTCCTTAGGACTGAGTCATACTATGCAGCCACTTCTGCACAGTGGGATAGGACCTCTACTCTCGCCTGTATTGTTTTAAGAAAACAGAAAAGGGGGAACTGTGGTGAGCCGCTTCTGCCGTTTCTGCAGACTATGGTCGCCATTACAAGATGACGCTGGCTCCGCTGTGGTCTGTGACAAACAACTCCTTATCTGGGAAAGTTGGCACATGATTTTTCACCACCCTGTGAGAAAGCTCCACGCGGCAGCTTTGCATTGGGGCTTGGGATGCTTTATTAAGGCTGGGAGGGGCATCCGGGAGAGAGAAGAAGAAATATCAAGGGCCTGAATAAACTGTTGAAAGAAGATTCCCGAGTTGCGTCTTCCTTGCGGGCAAGGGGTCGCGACAATGCTTCACTCCTTCCTGCTGTCCTGCTTTGGAACTGAGTTTCAGTCTCCATCATTAACTATTCAGGGGAGAGTCTGTGTTTCCACACAGAGACCTTCCTTTCAGAAATCCCATCCAGGTGAGTCCAGGAGCTCAGTCAGTGCTGCAGGAAGGGTCCAGAGACATAAAAAGCTGAGAAAGTTTCCCTGAGAGCAATTCAGCATGGCCCAGAGTGGAGAAAATGCAGGCGAGGCTTGCTTGATTGTTAGTGTGGTTACTTATGATGCTGAAAAGAATAGTAACAGCTGAACTCGGCAATGCAGGGGTGATCATAGACATTTAAGTGATAGTGACAAAAGCCAAATTAAAGGAGGGAATGGTTGGCATAAAGTGGTTCCCATACAAGTAGAATGCATATACAAAGATTTTTCTGAAATTATGGGCAGTATTAGCTGTGGAGGAATACACACTGAGGTGAGGGTATGTCTTTTGTAAGATGGGGTGTACTTAAATATATCTCCATATCCATAAGAAAAGACCAGAACAGTTAATTGCTTGCAAATCCTACCTTGCAATAGCTGTTCATGAGGCATATGTTTTGCAATTTCTCCCCTCATGCAAGATAATCAGACTAAAAGGTGAAAAAGGTATATCAACGAGCTTCACTTGCATTTATTTCCTAGCTGCTGAGTGTGGATATAGTTGTGGTCTCACTTGCCATTTATTTTATTGTGAATTGTGCAAGTTCTTTGAGTATATTGAGATTGGAGTGTTTTTTTCCCCACTTTTTTTGTTGCATATTTTCAAATATAAGAATTAGAGTTTTTCATCATCTTTTCCGTTTAGTTCTTTTACATATGTATAGGTGTGTTGGGGACAATTATAAAATTATATGTATCTTGTGGGATCAAGTCTGTGGTTATATTGTGTTTGCCTCATTGGTTTTTAAATGTACAAAGTTCATCTGCATGACGTGAGTAGCCTTTCATGCATATTTACAACTCGTTTTCACATGTCTGTTATTCTTTATTATGACTTTGGTCTTTTTTGATAGATCTATTTCCTCAAGTCACCTTCGCTCTGGACATCATTTGGAAGACATTATCACTTGATTAAGATAACCTCTATCTTTCATATAATATGTATATATATATATATATATAATTTATTATATTTATATATATTTATATACGTATATATAAAATTTATATATATGGGGATTGAACATAGGGCACTGCACATGCTAGGCAAGTGCTCCACAACTGAGTTGCATTCCCAGCCCTTCATACAGTTTGAAATGAGATAAAATTATAAAATTAGATGCCCACAACTTTATTATATTCTCTTACATCTAGGTCTTTGAAAATTAAATTATTAATCCATCTTGAAATCACTTAAATTGCTGCCATTTTGTATCCTGCTTCAGTTCATTATCAATGGTCCTTTTGATTTTGTTGTTTGGAAACCACTCAATTCGGCTTGGTTTTATCCCCCTGCCATTCTAACTTTTTATTTTCCTTAAGTTTGTTTCTACATAATGTATGTGTTTTCACACTTTTGTGAAAATGTGAAATGAGCAAAGCAGTTGAATTCTCCGCCTTTGGATCTTAAACTATAGTGGTGAAAATGGAGAATGATGAAATGTGCATGATACAATGCCCTCAGGGATTAATTATAGGAAGGATATTTTCAGATAAACAGAGAATTATTGTGGTGTCCTGGCAAGGAATTTTATAGAGTCATATTGACCATGATAATTTTTTGTAGTCTAGAATATACCCATGGGACTCAAAAATAAAGTAAAATATCCAAGCCTCAGACCTACAAATAATGAAGAGAAGATGCCACCTGAGAAAAGGAAAAAGAAACTCTTGCTGCCCACTGTCAGACCTCATGAAAACCAGTGGGTCAAACAGATATGGACCAGGCACCGGAGGAGCAAACCTTTCATTGTCTCATATAAAATGTTTCAGTTCACTCATTCTGCATCTCTTTCCTCTTTTGAATTGTTGATTTATTCCCTTTGCTTCTTTCTCTGTTGGAGTGTTAAATCTGCAAGTGTCTTGACACTGAAAATATATCATGTCTTTTGTCTTATCTGTAAATTTATTTTTGTTGTTTATTATTTTTAAGGAGTGTCAAGGGCATAGAGCAGCAGTTGAGCTGTATCTGTAACTAAGGAAATTATTTTTTTTCCTATTCTCTCAGGAACAACCAAGTTCATTAGATCTTTTCTTTCTTTCTTTTGTAACCCCATGGGTCTGCTTAATTCTTCTCTCTGTGTTCATTGAGAAGATGTTTCATGGTTTAAAAAAGGTTTCTTTAAGGCCACCCAGTACTTCTCTTACTTTTAAAAAAATTTGTTCTAATTAATTACACATGACAGTGGTACCCAGTGCTTCTTGACTGATTCATTGACTGTCATGCTGGGGATAAACTCAGGTCTTGCACATGTTAGGCAAACACTCTGCCACTGAGCTATGCCCCTGGCCATTCTGCTTTTACATTTGAGACATTTCCACTAAGTTGCCCATGCTGGCCTCAGACTCGCAATCCTCATGATGCCTGAATAGCTGGCAACATGGGTATGGGCCGCCACGCCAGGCTCATTCATCACCCTCCAACACCATTTCTTATCATTGACCCATTGTTCACTCTGCTCACCACACTGATTTCCTTGTTAGTCTTGAATAACTGAAACAAGCATCTTCCTCGGGGACTTTGCCTTGCTGTTCCTCCTTCCAAGTGCCAGATACCTCCTGGCTCCCATCTTGTATTCCTTCAGGTCCCTGTTCAAATATCACTTTGTCTACTAGTCTTCCCTGAACACCCAGTAAAATAATATACCCATCCACTCTCTCCTTTTTATTTATTTATTTATTTGCACTTGCAATATATTTGAATGTATAGGATCTTGATCTTGACTATCTCCAAATGCCCATGTGTAAAAGATTTGGTCCTCAGAGAGGTACTTTCAGAGGTGGTTATACCTTTAAGAGGTGGGGCTTAGTGGGATCCCTTAGGTTGGTGAGGGTGTGGACTCCTCTTTGCTTTCTTTTGCTTCCTGGTCATAGAGGAATGGACTTCTTCTGCACAGGCTTCCCGCCACAATATTCTGCCTCACTACAGGCCCAAATCTGCTGGGTCAGCTGGAAATTTCAAAACTGAGAGCCAGAATAAAACTTGATTTTTCTCAAGTATTTCTTACTTGATGGAAAGATGACCAACGTGGTTTTCCTTCTCCTTCACATGGTGTATGGATTTTGGTTTTCTTCACACATTGTGTCAACAGTGCCTCATTATGTTTCTATTTCTCAAATGCATAGAAGAACTTCTCACCAAAAGTAAATGAGACTGGAGAACATCATGCTACATGAAATAATCCAGACTCAGAAAGTCAAGGGCAAATGTTCTCTCATATGCAGAAGCAAGACCAAAGTAAGGGGGACGAGAGGGGAGTCCTATGAAAACAGAAGAGAGATCAGTGGAGCAGAGAAGGGGGTGGAGTGGGAGGCAGGAGCGATGGGAAAAGGGAGAAATAATGGAATGAGATTGACCAAATTATGCCGTCTACATGTATGAGTACACCACAGTGAATTACACCTTTGTGTATATCTATAAAGCACTAGATTAAAAACTATAAATAAATTGAAGGAAGACCAGTAGAACAAAGGAAAGGAAACAAGGAGGGAGAAGAGGAGGAAATGGGGAAGTAGTGGGATTCAATTGGATAAATTTTATTTCATGCATGTATGATTAGGTCAGAATTAACCACAATATTATGTATGACTATAATGCACTTATGTAATAAAAACATTAAACATTTTTTGGATACATTATCTTTGAGTAGATGCTGAACATGAGGCAGAAATTTCTAATCAGAGATAACACAATTAATATTATGAAGGGGACAAGATTTATACACCAATGTAGAAGTTAATTGCTTTACTGTAGAAGATTGTAGATGGTTCATAGCCCAATGGTAGTGTGAGTTTGATGCCCAGCATGTGCACGCGCGCACACACACACACACACACATACACACAGACACACACACACATAAAACAGGCAGCACTGTGATGGGTGAGTAATGAATTCATTCTTGTGTCCTGTTCTTGTTCTCTCTCTCTTTTTTTTTTTGGTAGTCATATCAAACACATGGAACCAGAAAATGATACAAAAATTTCAGAAGTCCTTCTTCTGGGATTTTCAGAGCAAGCGGAAATACAGCTTCTTATTTTTGGGCTGTTTCTCTCCATGTACCTAGTCACTGTGCTCATCATCCTGGCCACCATCTCAGACTCCCACCTGTACACGCCCATGTACTTCTTCCTCACCAACCTGTCCTTTGTGGACATCTGCTTCACCTCCACCACCATCCCCAAGATGCTGGTGAACATCCAGACACAGAGCAAGACCATTACCTATGCAGGCTGCATCACCCAGATGTACTTCTTATTGCTTTGTTCAGGATTGGACATCTTTCTGCTGACTGTGATGGCCTATGGCAGATATGTGGCCATCTGTCACCCCCTGCATTACATGATCATCATGAACCACTGCCTCTGCAGACTATTGGTTCTCGCATGCTGGATCATGAGTTTCCTGAATTCCTTTTTGCATAGCTTCATGGTACTGAGACTGTCCTTCTGCACAGACTTGGAAATCTCCCACTTTTTCTGTGAAATTAACCAGGTGGTCCACCATGCCTGTTGTGACACCTTTCTTAATGACATGGTGATATATATCACAGCTGTGTTTCTGGCTGTTGGCCCCCTCACTGGCATCCTTTACTCTTACTCCAAGATAGTGTCCTCCATCTCATCAGCTCAGGGCACATACAAAGCCTTCTCCACCTGTGCGTCTCACCTCTCTGTGGTCTCCTTATTTTATTGCACGCTGCTTGGAGTATATCTTAGTTCTCCTGTGACCCAAAACTCACATTCCACTGCAACAGCCTCTTTGATGTACACTGTGGTCACCCCCATGCTGAACCCCTTCATCTACAGTCTGAGGAATAAGGACATTAAGAGTGCTCCAGAAGACTCCTTGGGAGGACATCTGGAAGAGAACCAATTCATCCACTTCAGTAGACTTGCCTGTGCTTGCAAGGCTCAAAGTTATTGAGTCAGAAACCATTATTCTTTGATCAGATTGTAGGATGAAAACTTGCTCCTTTTATTTACCATGGTTTCCATTTCTTTGACATCAGCTTTCCTATACAGTGAACAGAACTAGCTTGACTAGGCTTTCTGTTATTTCTAGTCTCTAATGAAATATCTGCCTTTGTCATTTCCCACTTTCCGAAACCCATTCCCACCTTTGTGTCAGAAGTATTTGGAAATTCCCACTCATACCATGGGACAACATGGACTTCTTAAGAATAATTTCCTCTTCAATAACAAATATTTTCTTGTGTTTTGCTAACATAATAGTCATGACTTTCACTATTCCTGAGGGAAAGACTACACATGGAAGCCAAGACAATTAAAATTGTAACATACAAAAATCTGAAATAGGTTTTCCATATGAGCTTCTGTGATTTCTTTTTTCACCTTTACTTCCCTTCTCCTCCCTCCCTCCTTCCTCCCTCTCTTCTTTTCTTTCTTTCTTAAGCTGGGGATGGAACCTAGGTCCTCGTGCAGGCTTGCTCTACTGCTGAGTTGCACCCCAGCTCCTATCATTATTTTCTACACCATGACGTTAACTGCTCCTCCTGGTAATGTACATTTTCACACTCTGGTTTATTTTGTAACTTATCATTGCAGGTTATTCTCTCATATGATCATGTTCTCTTATTCAATTAAGTGCACACTGAGTACCAAAGTTATTGCCAAAAATTGATTATCAAGTGTGTGTCTCTAAGTGGAGTCTAACTGGAAAGATGAATTTGAATAAAGAGAATGAAGGCCAGGGGCTTTCTCCTGAGGTTCCCCAAGAGGCCAACTACCTGGCCTGCAGCCCAGAGATAGTGGTGTCTGTTGCTAGCTTAATTAATTTATTAATGGATTTATAAGATACTAAGAGAAGAAGTGATCCAGAAATCAGCAACACAGGATCATTGCTGACCATCAACTTACGGTAAGAAAAGCTCATTAGAAGAGAGATGGGAGGTATGAAGTGGTTCAAATCAAAGTAAAATTTAAGTCTGAGGATCTTCAAGATGAAGGGGAAAGGACAAATTCAGTATTAACTATGGAGGGATATGCACTGGAGGGAGCTCATTAAATATATATATATATATATATATATATATATATATATATATATATATATATATATACACACACACACACACATATTTCAGCATGTTTTAAATTTCGTGAGAAGATCCACTTTTAGGACTTTCTTGTAAGTAAATTCCTGCAACAGAAACTCTTGACACAGCTATATCACAATATCTTCTTCCACTCTGGGTATCCACATGAAAAATGAATTTACTTCCTTAATGATAATGGGTATGATAAAGAGTTTAAATTTGCAATTATTTCATAGCCTGTAAAGATGAAACTAATGGGATGGTCATCAACTTCTCTATTTCAAATTGTTAAGACCATTTGCTAGGGCTGGGGCTGGGGCTCAGTGGCAGAGCATTTCCTCGCATGTGTGAGGCACTGGGTTCAATCCTCAGCACCTCATGAAAAAATAAATAAAAATAAAGGCATGCTGTCTGTCTACAAATATAAAAAATAAAATAAAAAAGACCCTTTGCTTGGGCTTGTAGAGTATTTATTCCCATTCTTTAAAAAAAATTCAAAAATTCTTTCAACGGTTATTCCACTGATTTTGATATTGTCCCTTGGTTCATTTACATAAGCACAGCACCTATGTGGAGATGTATCTGTGAGGAGTGTCTGAAAGTCTACAGATTTTAATGTCTTCCAATAGATGAGTGTTTGTTATTGGGTTCAGGAGGAGAGGAGGGAAAAGAGAGTTAATAGGAACTGAAGTGGAGTAAATTATATTCCATGAATGTGTAATTATGTCAAGTGACCCCAACATTATGCATCACTGCAATATAATAATAAAACATTAAATGTAGATTAAGAAAACAATGTCACTACTTTGGTGTTTTAGAAAATATACTTTTATTGTTTATGGTTTTTGCTGGGCACCCAGCGAGGGTCACTGGGTTTGGAACCCTGCCAGGACCAAGGAAGACTTTCCCTCCTGGAGAAGAGACACCTGGGCTTGCAAGGTCCTGTTCCCCTGGGTCCACGTAGCTCACTCTCTCTCTGCCCGAACCTCTTCATGTTCCTCCCACCCCTTTGCCTTCTCTCTCCTTTTCTCTCACTCCCCATCCTTCTCTATTTCTCTTCCTCACTCTGTTGACAGCACAGATTTCATACTCCTTTTTAAACACAAGGAAAAGGAGCAGCATTCTTAAGTGGGTCTGCTCATTTGTTCATGGAAAGTGTGTTGAGTGGACTTTCCAGGTGCCCTGTCCACATTCTGTAGGGAACTGATCATCTCAGCTGTGGTGTCAACACTCACAGCCTTGTCAGGGTGTCTGGGGCTGAGAGCCATGGCAGAAATAAGACCAGAGCCCAGGGTGTGTTGTGTGTTCCTATTTGTGTGTGTGTGTGTGTGTCTGTGTGTGTGTTTATGTGTGTCATGGTGTGTTCAGAGAAGGGGTATCTGAGGTTATATATTGCAGGGTGACTCTTAGCAGCTAGAGGTCAGAACTTAACCCTCAGGTGGTAGCAAGGAGAGAATCCTCTGCAGTTCACAGAATGTCTTTGCAGCAATTTTAAGAGGTACAAGGTGTGGATGAAGGACTCCCTGTATCTGTAGCTGCAGAGAGCAACGAGGCCAGCTCATTCCTCAACATTCTCTGACAACTTTCTCATCACTCTCCCTCTGTTTTTTTCTTCTCACCAACAACATTCTTTTAAGCCTTGATTTTCTGAAAAAAAAAAAAAAACAAGTAAATTTCTGGGGACCTTGCACTGGCTATTTCCCCAGTGAAGGTCACACTGCTGAGAATAACTTGTTTCCTACCTTGTTTTCCTGCATTGCTATTGAAAGTATAGTAACTCTCTACTCCTCCTTTTTCTTCATAGTTCCCACCACCATGTGACATATTATGTGATTTAAAAAATTTTTGCTTAGTTCTTTCCCTCTCATTGGATAATGGACTTTTGTACCTTATATGTATTACTGATGAATTCCTTGGAATATAGTTGATATTCAATAATGAATTATTGCTTTATTTTTTAATTAACATAATTATAGCACTTTTTAGTAATGACTTTATCTTTCTGTATGTGTATGAATGGTGTAATAATTGCATAAGGGTAATTAGTTTAATTACCTGAAACATTTATCATTTCTCTGTGGTGAAACACTGAAAACTGTCTTCTTTAGCTATTTTAAAATATGTAATATATTATGGTTAATTATAATTACCTGACTGTGCAATACAACACCAGAAGTTATTCCTTTTCTCAACTTGTAACTTTGTCCCCCTTGAGAAGCTGCTCTCCATCCCTTTGTTCCCACAATGCTCCTCAGCTTCTTGTGACATCATGCTCTGCTGAGCTTCTATGAGAGCAGCTTTTGAAGAATCTCCAGTTGGATGATGTCATGCAGCTTTAGTGTTCCTGTACCTGGCTTATTTCACTTCACATAATATCCCCCAGATTCCCCTATGTTGTCCCCAAAGACAGGACTCAATCTTCTGTTAATAATTTAATATTATTCCACTCTGTATCTGTACCCCAACCAAATGGCCAATAGCCATATGAAAAATGCTTGAAATTGCCAATTATCAGGGAAATGCTAACCAAGATTGCAGTAGAATATCACCTCACTCCAGTTAGAAGGGCTATGATCAAAAGACCAAAGATATCAAGCGTCAGTGAGAATGTGGAGAAAAAGGGAATCCTGTCCCAGATTTGGTAGGTATGCAAACAAATGAAACCATTATAGAAAGCAATCCAGAGATTCCACAAAAATTAAAATAGAGTTATCACATGATGCAGCAATCCTAGTACTGGGTGTGTAGCCAAAGAAATAAAATGGGTATTTTGAAGATATCTGCCCTCCCTGGGGTCTCTGTTCAGGACCTCCCTGTCCCCAGGACTGTTCCTGAGGTTCCACATTGGATCAGCTTTTTAATGTTCACCAGGAAATTTCAGTTGTGTAAATATAACAGGGCACTTTCCCAGTTATCTACGATAAGGGATTGTCTTTAATTTTAACAAACCAAATCTTAAACCTTTAACACATAACCTCACAAGTGATGCTCAGGGTGCTTTTTGCCCTGGAAACTCACTTGCAGAGATGTGTTCTGAGATGATGCAAATGAGACCAACTCTGAAGATTTCCTGCCTTTTTGTTGGATCCCCTTTTCTTCCCATCATCCTCAAATTAGTGAAGTTTTCCACTCACACACTATGAATGCCTAGAAATTCTGAACCCTATCTCATTTGTGCCTACAACCGTGAAGTCTAGTACAATTCCTGGTAAGGAGTTTGTCTTGTGTGAATTTTAGTTGAATAGAATAAAAATTAGGAGATGGTTTAAGAGAAAGAAGAGAATGTCTGAGCCACAAAACTACACATGGGCAGGTTAAGTAAGAGGCTTTGAGGCAGAAAAAAAAATCCAGACTCATGGAGGTAGATCTTGATAATGATAATAAAAAAAATAGAGGGAATGAAATTAGCTTCCAAAGACGTAGCTGCACTTCCCAATATTCCTGCAGCAGTCTTCACAGTAGTAAAATGTGGTATATTTATAACTGAGTGCTCTTCAGCCTTCAAGAAGAATGAAATCCTGTCATTTACAAGAAAATAAAGGGGACAGGACCTTGTGTCCCATGAAAGAAGCCAGACAGAAACAAACACTGCATGTTCTCCTATGTGGAGGCCAAAGGAGCCTCAATCTACATACAAAATAGTGGCCCTGGAGTCTGGGAAGGAGACAGGAGGAGGAGGAGGAGGGAGGCTTGATAACAGGTACAGAAACACAGGTGAATAGGAAGACCCAGTCCTGGTGTTCCACAGTGAGTGGGGGTGGGTGGGGGCAGCAGTGCCCAGATCTTGTCATGAGGTTAATGAATATCTGAAGTGAGGAGCAAAACCTGGAATCAATAAGGTAATGATGTGGGGAGGGAAAGTTCCCTT